CCTCGTGGGGCCATCTTGGGGCCATCTTCAGACCTCTTGGGGCCTCCTGGGCGCTTTTTGGGGCCATCTTGGGTGAGATCGGTCACAGGAGGGGGGGGTACTAATTAGGGCCTCCCCCCCTGGAGGCCAAAGTGGGGCCACAACCCTAGTAAAACCAATGATGTTGGCTTCCTCGACGAGGCCGTTTTGGACGTTCCGACGACTCGCGGAACCCTTTGTCCAGGTCCGTGGGGAGGGGTAGGGGGAGGGGTAAACTTTTCCCCGAAGGTGAAGAAGGAGGGGTGGAAGAGGAAGCGCCCTAAACCACCGACGCCCAGAGGGCTGGTGGGATTTGACAGAGACCCTGCCCCCCCAGCGCGCGCGCAAGGGCGTTCGAATCATTTCGGCATGCTCACGCAAGAGGCATGTTTGGTTGCATGCGATGTAATGCTGAAGAACCGGTGTTTGTTTTTGAAGAATTCGCAAAAGCGCGCAGACTTTTTTAATGAAACGCCATGCTGCAACGAAATGTGCGTTCGTATGTTTACGGGGCACTGAATTGTGCAATTCCTGCGAAACCCACGGGGGTTGACTGATTCTGGCACGCGCGCACGATGACGCGCGCGTGCGCGTTGCTGGATTATGATAAAGGGGTGCGCGCACAATATAATTTGACGAGCATGGAGGGCGTCAATAACAGTTTGGCTGGGGTGATATGAGCTCATATTGAGAGCGAGCGTTGGCGCATAATCACTTGTAAACTGCAGTACCCCAGGCAGGACCGATACAACCTGGGGGATGTGTTGCAATCGTTGTGCTTTAAAAGGGTATATGTTGTGGGCAACATGTTGTGTCATCTACTTGGTGCAACACACGTGGATCAATCTATGTGGTGCACTAGATGTTGCAGTCGACGTGGATCAATATATGTGGTGCAGTCTACGTGTTACAACCAATGTTGTGCTATCAGTGTTTCCCAGACGTTGTTTGCACCTCGGGCTTCTTGCTTGTCGTCTCATGAAACTGAGCCTGGTTGGCGGTCTGGCGCCTCCGTTGTCGCCGTCGCCGCCCCGTCGCCGCCCGTCGTCTGGGCCTGGGTGGCGGTCTGGCGGCTCGCTCCGTGGTCGCCGTCGCCGCCCTGTCGCCGCCTCGTCGCCGCCCGTCGTGTGAGTTTGGTTGGCGGTCTGGCGGCTCCGTGGTCGCCGTCGCCACCCCGTCGCCGCCTCGTCGCCACATAGCCGCCAGACCGCCGCGCAGGCCCAGTTCCGCCCAAAACAATCAGAGACCCCTAAGGGCAGGCATTGCTCGGTGAATATAGACATGCACTGTCACGAAAACAGGGGAACTACAGGACATTGAGGGGAAGAGGAAGATCAATCAACAAAAAAATGGGGGATCCTGGGACGTGGGCCCATAAGTTGGAGAGGCCTCGCGGCCGGTGCCGCCGACCCTGATGAAAGGCGACGACGACGACGACGGCGGCGGCGACGGCGGCGGCGACGACGACACCGACGACGAGCGCTCTCGGGAGCCTCTTGGGGGAGGGGAGGGAGAAAGTCAATCGAAAAAGATATTGGGGATGCATCGTGAGTCTATCTGTTTGTGTCTCCCCGGGCCCCTTCTCAGAGGCTCTCTGGAGCTGGCGAACGCGGGGCACGCGGCCAGGCCTCTTTGTCCAGCGCCAGGGCCACTCTGGGCCCGGGCACGCTGGGCTCCTGCACGTGTCTCTCGCGCGTGGCCACCGGGCGCATCCGCGCGGCGGCTGCAAACGTATGAGACGAATGTGCGTGGCGATGCAGCGAGAGCCCCATGAAGTGGCGATGCAGCGAGAGCCCCATGAAAAATCACCTTGGCGAATGGCCCAACCCTTGTGCATAGCCTGGCCGCGAAACGTACGAGGGGCGTGCCGAAGTGGCTCCGAGTCGCACGACGGACACGGCCTCTGCCGGCACTGGGCGGAGCTCCCTATACATGGCCGACGTGGGCCCGAAAAGGACCCGGGTCGCCCTGCGGATGCAGCCACTGGGGCCTTGGGGTGGAGCTCGCTACGGTTGCGGAGGACGATCAATGGAGAGGAAGCATGTTGCCAAATAATTTCCAGATGTCTAAAACATGTGTTAAGCATTCTGTTTAACATGTAAAAGCGTGTTCAAAAAGTTTTGAACATTTTTCCGACATTTTGAACACATTGAAAATTCAATGATCGGATTGTTAGGGTGTCCATTGCCGTGACATCCACAACCCTATGGGGCCACGACGCGTGCGTCGCGCATGCGGCCAGCCAGGTCGGGCATGCCCCTTCCTCGCCGGAAGACGGCGGAAGGCCGACGGGAGCCCGCGGAAGCGTTGAGCGAGGGCGGTTCCGCCGGCGGCAGGGTCTGCGGAAGCCGGCGGCAGCAAGATGAACGTTCTAGTGATCGCTGTCTTACTCGTTGTTTTGCCGATCTGCGCGGGCCCTCGCGTCCCCTGCCTCCCCCCCCCGCGTCCCGTGGAGTAGATCTTGGGTGTATCTGGCGCCTGTTTCAGGCAGGTGGAGGCTCCCCCATAGGACCCACTGCTGCAAACAGTCGCATTGAGCGGAGGTCCTGAGCCAGACCCCCCCGCCCCCCCCCCCCTTCCGCCCAATGTCGAAGCGCCGAGTCAGAAGACGCTCGCCTTAGAGGTGGCAGCATTTTTTTGGTTTCAGGGGTTCCTGGACCCGCCAGGCGTGCGCGCTCCGCACCCCGCCTCTCGGAGCGCTCCAGCAAGGCCGCGGCGCCCGAGAGCCTGCGTCCTCCGAGCCAGCCGGGCTCCCGCACGCGTGCCTCGCGCGTGGCCTCTTGGAGCTCCCACGCGCGTGCCCATCCCGCCACGCGTGCGCGCTGGGCTCCGCCCTGTGGTGGTCACGGGGGTCTCTGGTCATTCCAGCGGGCGTTCGCCGCGTGCGCGTGTGTGGTGAAAGTGTCATCTGTACGTGCGTGCGCCGCCTTCGCCCCGGCCCCCCCCCCCTTTCTCCATGCCATCCTCCTTCTCTCCTCCCCCCATGCCTGCCGCATCCAGCCGCCACCATCCTTCGTGCCGCCTGTCTCCTCCGCCACCTCCCCGTCCATCCTCCCTCCTCTGTCGTCCCGACTTCATCCGCCGTATCCTCCCCCCTCCTCTACCCCGTGCGGCATGCCTCCCCCCTTCTCTATCAGCAATATGTTTCGTCCACCCTCCTTGTCCTGCGCCTCCTCGACATGTCTCTGCGCCTCCCTTCTCCAACCAGCTCTTTCCTCTTTTATCTCCTCCTCATGCCTCCTCCACCTCCTTCTTTCGATTGCGAGTTTCGGGCTCGCAAAGCCAAAGGCCATGCCAGAGTTGCCGACGACGATTCGGCCGGCGACGCCCGGTAACGCCGCACTGGAAGCGCGGAGGCGGACAGAGCGGCCTGGCGTGGCGCGGCCATGCGCCCCAAGGATTCAGGAGGGGAAAAAACACACAGACACAATTAATCGTCGACCCCCAGGAAAATATGGGGAAATATGGGAAGTGGTGGGGAAGACAGAAACCCAGAAAATATTGGAAAATATGGGGAATATTTTTATTTGTGTGTATTTATTTGTGTGTCCTGGGGCCCCTTTAAGGATGTGGGGGCCGAGCGTAGGGTGGTGGGCGCTTTCCAGCTCGTCACGACAACAGGCAGATATCTCGGCCGCTCTCTGCCGGCTTGGCCTTTCACGCGGCAGGAGCACGCCGGAGTGCTCGGCGGTCGCCGCGGCCCGGCTCGATCGGCCGACCACCCAGTGCCTCACGGCCGCCACGGGTTGGCTCGCGTGCAGTGGCGACTGCGATGCACTCGGTGCCTTGCAAGTGGCCTCCGGCACAGATTTTGGTCTGTGCGGCCTTTCATTTGCTGTTCGGCCTGCGGACCTGACGTACTCCCGCGAGAATGCAGCCGGTTTGGCCAAGCCTTGCACAGGGAGTACGATGCGCCAGGGGGCCACAGCCTTCCGGTCGAACATGTTATGGGAGGCATGTGATCCGCGGATCGGTACCGCCCTAGGCTGCTCCAGGCCTCAGCCCTGTGGGCGCTGGCGTCGGCAGTGGACGCGAAATTCGGGGACCTCAGCGTCTTGCCTGGCGACAGCGATGGGGACGATCACGTCTATCAGGAGGGAAGAAACACACCGACACAATTCGTCGCCGACCCCCAGGAGAACATGGGAAAATCTGGGGAGTAGGGGAAGACGAAAACTTAGAAAAGATGGAAGAATATGGGGGATCCTGGGATTTGTGTCTATCTATGTGTGTGTCCCAGGGCGTCTTCAGTCTAGCCCTACCTCGTTCCCTCTTTCCTCCTGCCGCCCCGCTCCTCGCCTCCCCCCAGGGCTGGCCGTTCTGGACACGGCCGCGTTCCGCCGCGCCACGCCGTGGGGCCCGTGTTGTAATGAATGGCGCGCTGCGGGCCACGCCCGCCCGACCAAGCGCTCAGTACAGCATCGCTCGAGTGGGAGATCGACTACAGAATCGATGGTACCCGGCCATTGTTTTTGTTTGCTTCTCGTCGTGTGTGCGAAAAGATACTTCGAATACTCAGCAGATCTACGGAGCCTCCTGCGCATGTCTCGGAGGCTCGACGAAGAAGCCCACTTGGGGGTAGATCGTTCTCTGGTCGATCTCTCCTGCTCGAGTGGTTCGCGCAGCGAGCAAAAACCGCCACCTCCTCCCCCCCCTTCCAGCACCCCCTTCGTGCCCCCATGCCCCTCCTGTCGCACCCCCTCCCTAACCTTCCCACGCCGACTTCGACCACAACCCCTGAGGGCTCAGGCCAACCCGCGCTGGCCTTAGAGGCCCAACCCTTGGCGGACACAGGCGCGCTTCGATCCGCCCCCCAGTCCGTCAGGGCGGCTTTTAGTTGTTCCCGGCGCGCCCCGGGCGTGCCCTGGGCGCCCCGGGCGCCCCGGGCGCCCCGTGCCTCGTCGTCGTCATCGTCGTCGTCGTCGTCGTCGTCGTCGTCGTCGTCGGCGTCGCCGCCCTCCTCGCTCGAGCGCGCCCGCGAGGCGGCAGCGTACGCGGAGGGCGCCTCCCTGCGCGTCGCGGCCGGCCCCGCGGGCGAGGGCGAGTCGGAGGCGCATCGGCTCGTCGGCTGCGAGGCGCCGCATCTCGGGGGGGGGAGCGGGCGGTGAAGGAGAGGGAGGAGGAGGAGGAGGAGGAGGAGGAGGAGGAGGAAGAGGAGGAAGAGGGAGGAGGAGGAGGGAGGAGGAGGAGGGAGGCTGGAGGAGGAGGGGAGGAGGAGGAGGAGGAGGGGGAGGGAGGAGGAGGCTGGAGGAGAGGAGGAGGACGGAGGAGGGAGACGGAGGGGAAGAGGGAGGAGGAGGAGGGAGGAGGAGGAGGAGGGGAGGAGGAGAGGCTGGAGAGGAGGAGAAGGAGGAAGAGGGAGGAGGAGGAGGGAGGAGGAGGAGGGAAGAGCAGGAGGAGGAGGAGGAGGCTGGAGGAGGAGGAGCAGAAGGAGGAGGAGGAGGAGGATATTCTTGGCCTCCTCATCCTTCGCCGCTCGACCTCCTCCACCCTGTCGGCCTCCTCCTCGGCCTCCTCGACCTGGAGGGGGGCGAGGGGGAAAAGGAGGAAGAGAGGGGGGGGAGGGGGGGGAGAGGGGAAACGCTGGAAGGTGGGGGGGAGGCTGGAAGAGGAGAAGGAGCGCGGGCAGTGAGAGCGGACAGGTGATGATACTGATGATGATGATGATGATGATGATGATGATGCTGTTGCTGATGCTGATGCTGATGATGATGATGATGACCGTTGTGATGGTGATGAGGATGAGGATGAGGATGAGGATGAGGATGAGGATACTGATGATGACGACGTCGATGCTGACGATGATGGTGATGATGATTGTGATGGCGATAGTGACGGTGATGGTGATGGTGATGATGATGATGGTGATGGTTGTGATGGTTTTGGTGGTGGTGTTGTTTATTGTTATGGTCGGTTTGGGTCGTAATTCTGATTATGTGATGGTTGTGTGATTGGTTATGGATGGCTGTGATTGGTTAATTATGGTTATGGTTGGTGATTGTTGTGGTAACGATGGTGATGATAATGATAATGATGAATATGGTTTTGGTTTTGGTGATGGTGATGGTGATGATGATGACGAATCTGATACTTATGATGCTGATCCTGATGTTGCTGATGATGACAGTGGTGGTGGTGGTGATGGTGGTGGTGATGGTGATGATGATGATGATCGTGGTGATGGTGATGGTGATGAGGATGAGGATGAGGATGAGGATGAGGATACTGATGATGACGACGTCGATGCTGACGATGATGGTGATGATGATTGTGATGGCGATAGTGACGGTGATGGTGATGGTGATGATGATGATGATCGTGGTGATGGTGATGGTTTTGGTGATGGTGTTGTTTATTGTTATGGTCGGTTTGGGTTGTAATTCTGATTATGTGATGGTTGTGTGATTGGTTATGGATGGCTGTGATTGGTTAATTATGGTTATGGTTGGTGATTGTTGTGGTAACGATGGTGATGATAATGATGGTGATGGATATGGTTATGGTTTTGGTGATGGTGATGGTGATGATGATGACGAATCTGATACTTATGATGCTGATCCTGATGTTGCTGATGATGACAGTGGTGGTGGTGGTGATGGTGGTGGTGATGGTGATGGTGACGGTGATGGTGATGGCCATTGTAATGGTATGTTTGATGATGATGATGACGACGGCGACGACGTTGATGATGCTGGTGATAATGATGACGATTGTGATGCTGATGGTGATGGTGATACTGATGATAATGATGGTGGTGATGATGCTGTTTATGATGGTGATGGTGATGGTGATGATGATTATTGTGTTGGCGATGGTGATAGCGATGCTGATTATGATACTGATGACGATGATGATGATGGTGATGATGATGATGAGGGTGAAAACCATGATGGTGTGTCAGGTTCTGCTGATGATGATGGTGATGATGATGAAGATGATGATGCTGATTATGATGATGATGCTGATGATGATGTTGTTGTTGGTGGTGGTGGTTGTGGTGGTGGTGATGGTGGTGGTGGTGGTGAGGAGGAGGAGAAGGAGGAGAAGGAGAAGGAGGAGGCTGGAGGCTGGAGCAGGAGGAGGGGGAAGAGGCTGGAGGCAGGCGGAGTCATTGTAGGATGAGGGTTGCGGGCGAATTGACGTTTGGAGGGGGAGGAGGAGGAAGAGGAGGAGAAGGAGTAGGAGGAGGAGGAAGAGGAGGAGGAGGATGAGGAGGAGGAGGAGAAGGAGGAGGAGGAGGCTGGAGGAGGAGGAGGAGGAGGAGGAGGAGGAGGCTTGAGGAGGGAGGAGGAGGGAGGAGGAGGAGGAGGAGGAGGAGGTGGAGGAGGAGGCTGGAGGAGGCTGGAGGAGGCTGAGAGGGAGAAGGAGGAGAGAGGAGGAGGGAGGGGAAGAGGAGGAGGAGGAGGAGGAGGGCAGAGGAGGCGAGGGCAGGGTGGCGGCGCGTCAGATCCTCGCCCGCGAGACTGCGATCGGCCGGCGAAGGCCACGCTGACGGCGAGGAGGCGCGACGGACGTCGGCGGACGGCAGCGACGGCGGCGGACGGCGACGTCGGCGGCGGCGGCGGGCAGGGCGGAGGAGCAGAAAACTCATCGGCTGGGAGGCGCCCCGCGGGGTTCTGAGGTCCGAGCTCCGAGGCTCGAGGCTTTGTGGAGGCTCGGGGCCTCCATGGCTTCTGGAGGCCATACGTCCTCCTCCTCCTCCTCCTCCTCCTCCTCCTCCTCCTCCGCCCATCCTCCTCCTCCTCCTCCTCCTTCACCCCACAGCTCCATCATCTTCTCCTCCTCCTCCTCCTCCTCCACCTCCTCCACCTCCTCTTCCTCCTCCTCATCCTCCTCGTCCTCCTCCTCTTCCTCCTCCTTTTTCATTTTTTCCTCCTCCTCCTCCTTTTCCCTCCCTCCTTACTTCCTCCTCGTCCTCCCACCTTCGCACTGCGAACAGCGCTCCCTCCTTTCTCTCTCCGCTCCCTCTCCCCCTCCAGCGACGACGGCGCAAACGACGAAGCGATGAGGAGGAGGGCGACTACGACAATGACGGCGGCGGCGACGACGACGAGCACGGCGACCGCGACGGCCCCGGCGAGGAGAGCGTCGAGAAAGACGACGACGACGACGACGACGACGACGACGACGACGACGTGCACACAAGGTTACGACGACGACGGCAGCGCAGACGAAGGCAGTGGCAGCGACGGCAACGGCAGCGGCGGCGGCGACAAGAACGAGTACCCACCGTACACTGCATCTCTCCGCTCCGCTCCCCGTCACATCGTCGACGATGCTCGGCCGATGCCGCAGCTTGGGCCATCTGGCCCGAAGAGCCCCTTGGTGGGCGAAACGCGCAGCCTTGCCTGAGGGCTCCAGGCAGGGCGTCGACGTCTGGCCCGAGGGCTCGGGGCGGGACTGTCATTGCACCGTCGTCCTCCTCCTTCTCCTCCTTCTCCTCCTATTATTCCTTCTCCCTCCGATCCTCCTCCTCCTCCTCCTCCTCCTCCTCCTCCTCGCCCTCCTCCACCTCGCCCTCCTCCTCCTCCTCTCTTCATCCTCCTCTTCTCATCCTCCTCTCCTCCTCCTCCTCCTCCTCCTCCTCCTCCTCCTCCTCCTCCTCCTTGATCCGAAGCAAGTGCGAACACGCCGACGTCGACGACGGCAGCAGCGGAGGCGACAGCGGCGGCAGCGGCGGCGGTGCCGCCCGCCCGCCAGGTGCTCCAGGGCGGCCGCGAGCTCCGGGGCCGCAGCGCCGTCGCCGGGCTCCCCCCGCGCGCGCGCGGAGAGGAGGAAGGGAAGAGGAGGAGGAGGAGGAGGAGGAGGAGGAGGAGGAGGAGGAGGAGGAGGAGGAGGAAGGAGAAGATGTTGGAGCTGTGGGGTGAAGGAGGAGGAAGGAGGAGGAGGAGGAGGAGGAGGCTGATAAGGAGCGGGAGCAGGAGGAGGAGAAGGAGGAGGGGGAGGAGGAGGGGCTCCCCCCACGCGCGCGCGGGGGGGGAGGGATGTCCGCGCAAGAGCGATGATCTTCTTCTCGTGTGAGAGGGCCCTCTCTCAGAGGAGCAAGTGCCCCGCGCGCCCCCTCCTCCCCCTCCTCCCTCCGCTCCTCCTCCCCTCTCCTCCTGGGCCGTTACGTGCGCCCTGTTCCGCTGCACCGGCCGCTGTTTTTCTCCACCTATGCCCTACGTGGCCGCCCTTTGCGGGCACACAGGCTTGGCTTGATTTGAGTCCAGGATGCTTGCAGGATCTCGTATATGTAGTTCCTCATGTTCCGCACCGGCTGCGCCGCCAGATACTCTGGAAATCTTGGAACGTGGCCTGATCCGATATCATCATGACATCGTTATCGCCTTGCTCGTGCACGAGGGGGGATCAGGGATTGCATTCGCGGGTCAACGATGCTGGAGAAAGGCGCGCGTCTCGTCCCACCCCCCGCTTATGTAACACACGCACGAAGATCTGCCGAGAGAGGAGAGGGGAGGAGGGGGAGGAGGGGCTCGGAGGGGAAGGGAGGAGGGGGGGAGGAGGGGGAGAAGGGGGGGAGAAGGGGGGGAGGAAGCTGGGATGGAGGGGGAGGGGGCGGGAGATCGAAGGGGGAGGAGCCTATGCAACACACGCCCGAGCTGGCGGGACGACAGTGGAAGCGACAGGCCACGGCTGCAAGGTCGGGCGCCTGCCGGCTCCATGCGTGACGCCGCTCCCTCTCGGCGCCCCCCGCGCGGCGCTGCAGTGCGCAGTGCCGTGTTGGGGTGTGTAGGGTGCTGCTGCTGCTTTGTTGAGTTTTTTTTTTTGCTTTGCTTGCTTTGTTCATTATGCTTTTATCGTGGCTGACTGTGCTGTTTTTTTGTTGCTTTTTGTTTTTGATGCTGCTGCCGCCCGACCCGCCGCTGTTGCTGCTGCTGCTGCTGCTGCTGCTGCGCTGCTGCTGCTGCTGCTGTGCTGCTGCTGTTCTTTCAGGGGCAGCGTTAGAGAGGCGGTCAGGGGACACCTCGGGAGAGCTTTTTTGGGGGGAACTGTGTCTCTGGGGAGCCTCGATTTTCCTCAGGGTTTGCTCCTCCTCCTCCTCCTCCTCCTCCTCCTACTCCTCCTCCTCCTCCTCCTACTCCTCCTCCTCCTCCTCCTCCTCCTCCTCCTCCTACCTCTCCTCCTCCTCCTCCTCCTCCTCCTCCTCCTCCTCCTCCTCCTCCCCCTCCTCCTCCTCGTCCTCCTCCTCCTCCTCCTTCTCCTCCTCCTCATAAACAGAGAGAGAGAGAGAGAGAGAAGGAGAGAGAGCGAGAGAGAGAGAGAGAGCTCCCGGGAGCCGTCGAGACCAGAGGTGCGCTCCAGCAGCTTCGCCTCGTCGAGAGCTCGCCAGGGTTAGCAGACGATGCTGTCCCGCTCGGCCGCCAGAGAGGGGAGATGTATGACCCGACAAGTTGACGACGAGGATCGCTGGGACGGGCTAGGGTCAGGGGGGGACGCATCGAACCCCTATCGCCCATAGATCGCCGATGGGGGCCCGATAGCTCGCCCTGCTCACCCCGCCCAGGAGCGGGCGGCTTTGCCGTCGGGCCCCGTCGCCGAGCTACGGGAGACGCATCGCCGATGCTGGCCCGGCATTCCCACCACTGAGCCAGCCCCACCCTGACGTTGCCGATGATCGGGGGCGGAAAAGAGGGGGGTGATGACTAGGGGGGGGGGGATATCATGGCGTTGGCCATGATATTTCCCCAAATCTCATGGCGCCTCTTCTTATTTCATTACGTCCCTGGCCCCCCCGGCTGGGCCGCGCACATGCCGCCGGTCATGATTTGCACCCCTCCCTCTTGGACACCCCCCTCTTGGCCGCTCCCGAGATGAGGCCGGGGACCACGTACAGCGGAGACCCATGCCAAGAAACACCCTGCTTGCCTGCAGGCTGCCCTGGGTTTCTTGGGTTTCGCTGGTTTTGCCACGGAGAGCGTGACGTCCCCACACCAGACATCTATGGACGTCCTGGGGTCTCAGGGTTGGGTTTCTTGTGGAAGGCTTCCTGTGGTCGAGCTCCCACTGCAGGGACCCGATAGCTCGCCCTGCTCACCCCGCCCAGGAGCGTGCGGATGTGCCAGCGGGCCCCGTCGCCCACCTATGGGAGACGCATCGCCGACTCCGGCTCGCTGCTTCCACCCTTGAGCCAGCCCCACTCCGACGTCGCCGATCAGGCCGGGAACACATGGCCGACTTCGGACACCCTGAACCGAAAAATGTTCTCATCTCTTGGGGTCGCATCTTTCATTTATGCCACCTTCCGCCGCCCTTCCGCCGCCTTCCGCCGAGGAAGAGACGGTAGCTCCTTCTATCCTCGAAGGCAGGGCCCTTTTTGGAACGCCTCGCATCGGACACCGGGCGGCACTCAGTCTCTCGGCGGGGCTCGCCCCGTCGAGACCGAGGTCGGCCTTCCAGCAGCAGGCCCATTGCTTCGAGGGGGAGGGTGCAGGAGCAGGAGGAGGAGCAGGAGGAGGAGCAGGAGGAGGAGGAGGAGGAGGAGGAGGAGGAGGAGGAGGAGCCTCACTGTATTTTTCGTGCCAGGGCGCAACAAGCACTGTTCTTCATGCCCGATCAGCGTCAAGGGAGGAGGAGGGGAGCAGGAGGAGGAGGAGGAGCAGGAGGAGGAGCAGGAGGAGGAGCAGGAGCAGGAGGAGGAGGAGGAGGAGGAGGAGGAGGAGGAGGAGAGGAGGAAGGGGGAAGGGTGGGAGGGGGGGGGAGGAGGGGGAGGAGGAGCAGGTGGAGGAGGGGAGGAGGAGGGGAGAGGAGGAGGAGGAGAAAGAGAAAGAGAGAGAGATGGAGAGATGTGAGAGAGCGGTTGGTGTTCCCCTGCCCCGCGCTTTGCTTTCCCTCCCCGGCCCCACCTGGCCAACTCGCGAGGGCCGTCTGGCTCCGTGCCAGCTCGCGCCCCGATCGCCGATCCGTATTCCCCCGCGCCGCCGCATCTGCTTCTCTGGTTGAGCCCCGCTTGCAAGAACCCCAAGGCCGAGGAAAAGGACGAGGAGGAGGAGGAGGAGGAGGAGGGAAAGAGCGAGCGCATGATTTGTGCCCTGTCGGGCCGACCTCGTTTTCTCTCGCCGCCGCACCTGCTTTCCTAGTGGAGTCGCCGAGGAAAAGGAAGCGGAGGAGGAGGAGGAGGGAAAGAGCAAGCGCACTCTCTGTGCCCTGTCGGGCCTCCTCTTTTTTACTCGCCGATGGTGCCTTTCTTGATCCCGCTGCGCCCGCTCTGCCTGATTCGTCTCGCACTTAGCTTACGGTGGGGGCGTTCCAGGAGACTGTAGACCCTGGGGGATTCCTTATCCAAGGGGGGCGGCGGTGATAATCATGGCCGATCCACGACTGGAGATCCACAGGCTCCCAGACCCTGGATTCCTTATCCAAGGGTTCCTTGTCCAATGCCCCCACCGTGGTCCTGGGGTGCGCTGCGGGCGTGTGTTTGTGCTATTTTGTCGGCGGTGCGTTTGGAATTCGTTGCTCGCACGGGTTTCGGCCCTCGAAGAGAAAAACAATAAAGAAAAAGAAAAGAAAAAAATGCCCCCACCGCAATTCGGCCTCACTGTATTTGTCCCTGCGAGGGCGCAACACACACCGGTCTTCATGTCCGACCAACGCCACAATTCAGGAGGAGAGAAACAGGCAGAAGGCTTAAGTCGGGCCTGTCCCTCTACAGGAGGAATCTTCAAAAGTAGTCAAAACTTAGTATTTGGACAATGTTTTGAGTATTTGTTTGACCATTTGAGAGTATTGTTTGACGATTCGTTCCTCTTCGTCCAGAATCCCCCTGTAGGAGGACAGGCCCGACTTAGCAGAAGGCATAGGGGGAGGGAGGAGCAGCGGGCGGCGCCATGCAGGCGGAGCCATGCGTCTGCGTGGCGCTCCACTGCAAGAGTGGGAGATGGGCTCCGTCGGGCACACACACAAACAACAGCAACAACAACAAAGAACAAACAACAACCAACCAACAAACAACAACAACACCAACAACATCAACAACAGCAACAACAACAGCAACAACACCAACAGCAGCAGCAACAACAACAGCAACAACAACAGCAGCAGCAACAACAACACCAACAGCAACAACAACAAGCACACACTCACATGTTCGGTAGCAAATTATGGGAGCCTGGTGTATCCTCTTCAATCCGTCTCCAGCGTCGATTCGCGTCGATTGGCGTTTGGGAGCCGATGAGGTAGCACCAGTTTCGCGTCGGCTCGCGTCGATTATCGTCGGTTTAGCGTCGATTAGCGTCGATTTAGCGTCGACTGGTGTCGATTCGCAAGAGACGACAAGATGGTACGGGAGGCTCCCATGAGTTGCCACCGAACCCTTGGTCTGACATTTGCTCCCCGACTCAGCGATCACTTCGAGCTCTAAGTCTATTCAACGGCCTCTTCCTTGCGTGCTTCTGGGCGCGAGAGCATCGGCCCCACTTGGCCCTCCCACGTGCCCAGGCCTCCGACGTCGTGAGTTGTGGCCCATCCGTGCGTCCGGAGATCTCCGGGTCCCTTCGCCGGGGCCCGTTTCTCGTCGCGGGCTTCCGGGCGGGTGGCAATGAGGGGTGACCTAAATGTTCCCTAAATGGGGACTTCAGGGCCCCTTTTTGGCCCTTGCTGGCTTCAAAAAGGGGCCCTCAAGTGCCCCTTCAGGGCCTTTTTCTCCACCCTCCATTTAGGTAACCCCCCGGTACCACCCGCCCGAGGCCTTTTGGCCTGGGGACCGGAATCGCGAAAAGCACAAGAATGGAACAAACCACCGCGTTGGATGCCAGGGTGTGGCAGAGGGGGAGTGTGCCCTCGCCAGGTTCTGGGAGAGGTGCGTCTCGTTCAAGGCCTGGGGCGCGTACCAGGACGCCGCGTGGTCCCGGATCGCCGTGGACGCCAATACCGTGTTGGTCAAGGGCAAGGCGCCTCCAGCCTCCTGTTCCCCCGGCTTTCACACCTCCGGCGTAGCTCTTTCCAAACATCCTGTGGTGTTGGGCTCTTGTTTTGAACAGACGTCGCCCCGCGCACTCCTCTTCCTCTCCTCCTCCCCTCCTCCCTCCTCCCTCCTCCTGCTGCTGCTGCTCTCCGCATGTTCATATCGGCACCCCCCCGTGCGTTTCGTGGCCCCATGGGGAGCTCCACCAAAGGCCCCAGTGGCACAATCTGCATGCGTCCCCCCGCCCATGTCGGCACACCCCTCACACGCTTCGCGGCCCCACAGGGAGCCCCACCCAATGCCCCACTGGCACAGTCCGCATGCGATCCTGGTGCCCGAATCTTCGCGACAACGCCTGGCTGGAACAAAATCAGACGCCAGGATCTCAGGGCTGCCACCCTCTGTCGTGTCTTTGGTACCTCGCTGGTACTCTGCCTACCCCGGATGGGCCTTTGGGGGCATAGTGGGTTGAGCAGAAGCGCAGCATTACGCCGAAAGGCTGGGACGGACGGATCCTGCACCCACCCCCAGATCGTGAGGAAGAGAGAGAGAGAGAGATAGAGAGAGAGACAACAAAAAACAAGAATAGCCAGGCACCCCGAAAACGGGGGCAGCCGAAGCGAACATACATGGGCGCGCAGTGCCTCCTCCTGGGCCGCAGGCCCGCCGGGGCTCGAGGTTGCAGAGTCGGCGCCCACGTGCCGTTCGACGACGGGGCCCAAGGGCTCCCGCACGAGCCCAGAGCTCGAGGGCCCCACGGGTGCTCCTCCTTCCTTCGATTGGTTTCCCCTCCTCCTCCTGCTCCGCCTCAAAATCCTCCTCCTCCTCCTCCTCCTCCTCCTCCTCCTCCTCCTCCTCCTCCTCCTCTTGCTCCTCCTCTTGCTCCACTCCTCTTGCCTCCTCTCTGCTCCCCCGCCTCCTCCTCCTCCTCCTTCCTTCCTCCTCTCCTCCTCTTGCTCCTCTCTCCTCCTCCTCCTTTGCTCTCCTCATCCCTCCTCCTCCCTCTCCTCCATCCTCTCCTCCTCTGGATCCTCTCTTGGCTCCGTCTTTGTCCTCTCTGCTCCTCCTCCTTCTCCTCCTCTCTGTCCTCTCTCTCCTCTTGTTCCTCCTCTTGTTCCTCCTTTCCTCCTCCTCATCCTCCTCCTCCCCCTCCTCCTTCTCTCTTGCTCTCCTCTCCTCTCCTCACCTCTTGCTCTCATCTCCTCCTGCTTCTCTGCTCTCCGCCCTCTGCTCCTCCTCTTTGCCCTTCCTTCCTGATTCTCCTTTCTCCTCTTGCTTTCTCCTCCTTCTTCCTCCTCTCCTCCTCATCCTCCTCCCTCCTGCCTCCTCCTCCTCATCATCATCATCATCATCATCATCATCATCATCTTCATCATCATCATCATCATCATCATCATCATCATCATCATATCTCATCATCATCATATTGTTCCTCCTATTGATCCTCCTGCTCATCTCCTCCTCCCTCCTCTTGGTCCTACTCTTGCTTCCTCCTCTTGCTCCTCCTCTTGCTCATCTCGTGCTCCTCTCCTGCTCTCCTCCTCCTCCTCCTACCTTTGCTTCCCCTCCTCCGCATCCTCCTCCTCTTGCTCCTCCTCTTGCTTTCCTCTTGCTCTTCTCCTCATCCCGCATGCTCCTTCTCCTCCTCCTCCTCCTCCTCCTCCTCCTTCTCCTCCTCCTCCTCCTCCTCCTCCTCTTGCTTCTCCTCCTCCTCCTCCTCCTGATCTTGCTCCTCCTCTTGCTCCTCCTCCTCCTCGCCTTCGGGACCAGGGTGCTTTCCACTTATCCTCTCGCATGAGCAACCTGGCCAGCCGGCCAGGTCAGCTGCTTGCTTTTGGCAAGCGTCGTGAGCATCGTTCCGTTTGTCTGGAGCCTCGTTCTCGGAGCCCCTGGTCGTTACAGTGGGGGCGCGTACCAAGAAAGCGGATGCTTTGCGTCAGGGCATCTTGGGTTTCTTCGCTCCGCGCGTTCCGCGATGGTTCCCCGCGGGCGTTAAGGAACTCTCGTGTTCAGGAAGCCCTGGGTTTCTTCCCAACTGCACCTGGCGGAAGAATGCCCCGCCGCCCATATTCCTTCTACCTGTCAAATTACAAGGAAAAACCCGGCATGTCACCGACACCCCCCCCCACATGGACCCCAGATGAACCCCACAGGCTCCCAAGAGAGCCCCACAATGCTTCGAGACGGCCCAAAATACCCCGAAGAGAGCGACACGAGGCCTACATCGGGAGCCCAAGACAGCAGAAGGCACTTCCGAGACGTCCTCTGCAAGGCCCAAGAGGCCCCAAGACGGCCCCATAGTGCTCCAACAGGACCAAACATGGGCTCAAGACTGTCCAGGATGCCCCCGCAAAGACCTCCAACACGGCCTCAGCAGGCCAAAAACCTTAATTTGCCATTTATTTTTGAACGATTATGTGCTTCTCGCCTTTTCTGGCCACGAACGGCCCAATAATGATCTGCGAGCTTCCGAGGTCGCCCCGAAATGGCTTCCAGGCGGCCCAATGGGGCCCCAAGATGGGTCAATAAAGCGCAAAGAAAGCCAGGGAGCGCCCAAGAGACCCCTAAAAGACCCCCAAGAGGGCTCCAACAGAGTCACGAAATGCTTCAGAGAGGGCCCGAGAGAGCCCCAACACGGCCCCAGGACGGCCCAAGCCCCCCCAGACAGCCCACGAGGGCCCCAGGACAGCCCAAGAAGGCCCTCCGATGGTATACAAAAGCACCAACAGGAGCTCCACTCAGTCTTAGAGCCGTCAAATTCTTTACACTCTGATTGACCTGAGCGGCCCCCCCCATCGCCCCTAGTTCTTCTCAACCTCGCCCCAAGACGGCACATGTGGCCCTGCAGACATCCCCACTAGAGCCCAAGAGGGTTCCAAGATAACTCTCGGCATGACCTACTCGGACGTCCGACAGCCCATCTCTCGTCCTTCTCTACCTCCTCCTCCTCCGTTTCCCCCTCTCTGCCCCTCATCCCCTCCTCAACCTCCTTCTTCCCTCGAACTCGTCGCCTTCCTCCTCCTCGTCCTCCTCCTCCTCCTCCATCGCCCTCTCCTCATTTGCCTCCACCGACTCCGGGATACGAAAACTGATAGAGGTTTTCTCCTGATCCTCCTTTTTTTTTTTTTTTGTATTTTTTTTTCTTTTTATTTTCCTTCCAGCTGCTCCTTCGAGGCTTTTTGTTTTCTTCTATTTTCTCTTTTTTGTTTTTTTCTTTCTTTTTTGTTTTTTTTTTTCTTCTTTCTCTTCTCATGTCTTTTTCTTTCTTTTTATTTTTTCTTTTCTTTTTTTTTTTTTTTATTTTTCTTTTTTTTTTATGTTTATTTGTGTTTTTTTCTGTCAGACATCCCCAAGAAAGTCCAAGAAGGTTCCAACCTAACTCTCGACACCAACTCTTCGGAAATCTCCTCCTTCGAGGCTCAGAAGACATCCCCAAGAAAGTCCAAGAAGGTTCCAACCTAACTCTCGACACCAACTCTTCGGAAATCTCCTCCCAACCTCCTTCTGCTGCTCCTCCTCCTCCGGCTCTTTATCCTCCTGCTCCTCTTGCTCCTCCTGTAGTTCGTTGTCTTCCTCCTCCGCTGCCTCGTCAAAAGCCCCAGACCACATACTCTTATCACAAGCTCCCCAAAAGCAACCCTGGGTGCCAAGACAGACCAAGGGGGCTCCGAAGAGGGCCCACGACAGGCTTCCAGGGCGGAAACAGAAGACAGCTTTCACTGGGACCCGTGCTCTCGCCGAGGCGCCGGCCACATCTCTCATTCAATATCGTGTTGCCGCTTCGCTCGCGGGACTCCCAGCCTCTACCAGGTCAGCATCCCGTCCTCCAGCATGCGGCCGCCGACTTTCCTCTCAATTCTTGACGCTTCGCGTATCCCCACCGGCCCGTCCGGAATTGATTGCCAGCTTTCCCGAGGCCTCTTGGAGGCTATCCTGAGCCATGCTCGGCTAGAGGCTGTCGGAAGCTATTCTGAGCCATGCTCGGCTATGTTGGGCCATATTCAGGCTGTCTTGAGGCCTCTTGGAGATCTGTCGGAGGCTCTATCTTGAGCCATGCTTGGCTATCTTGGGCCATTTTGGAGGCCATCTTGGGCTATCTAGGGCTCTCTTGGAGCCATCTTGGGCCAAAAAGGGCGGGGAGGAGAATCTTCAGGAGAGGCTGGGAGGCCTCTCGGGCCCGTCTTGGGCCCCATTGTTCAAAAAGAGCGGGGGTCCTCAGTTCAGGTCCCCCCCTCGGAGGCTCTCAAACGGCGTCTTGGGGACGTGTTGGAGCGCTCTTTGGAAGCCTCTTGGGAGATCGTGGGGCCGTCTTGGGAATTTATTGGGCCCTCTTCGGGCTCTCTTGGGACCATCTTGGGGCCTTCTTGTTGCCTAAGGGGGCCCATCTCGGAAGCGGATAAAGTCCGAGAATGCCAAACAAATTGACTTTCCCCTTATTTTTTGTTTTTTTTTTTTTTTCTTTTTTTTTTTTTTTTTTTTTTCTTTTTTTTTTTTTTCTTTTTTTTTTATTTTGTGTTTTTTTTGTTTTTTTATTTTTTTTTTTTTTTTTTGTTTTTTTTTTTTTTTTTTTTTTTTTATTCTTTTTCTGTTCTTCCTTAGGCTTTTTGAAGGGTTTTGGCTTCTTGGAGGTCGCCGTGGAGGGCTCGAAGGGCACTTGGATCCGTCTTGAGGACTCTTGGAGGTGTGTCGGAGGCTATCTTGACCCATCTTGAGGTATCTTGGGCCATCTTGGAAGCCATCTTGCGACTTGGAGCGCCTCTTGGAGCCATCTTGAGCCATCTTGGACGCTCTAACGCCTCCATCCCCCCCCCTCCAGGTCCAGGGGAAAGTTACCCCTCCCCCGAGCAGGGGAAGGAAGGGGAAGAGAGAAGACCAAACTCGTTATACCACCGTAGCCCTAAAGGGCTGGTGGGACTTCCACCTATAGTCTTCCAGCCTCCATCAGCTCAGCACTCCGACCTCTAGCGTCCGGCATCCGACTTTCCACCTTCACCTCCACTCCAGCGTCCACCAACTCTGCGCCCTGTGCCAGCAAGGGCGCTACTCGCTGCTCTCGCCTTCGCCGCGCCTCCGCTCGCACAGATCACAAACTCCTCATTTGATCAATTGTGTTCCGCACCCGCGGGCCAGAAAACATCGTCGCTGCAAGGATCAATGCTTAGAAGGCTCAGCGCAGTCGAGCCATTTTTTTTGAATTATTCGTTGCGATCTAATATATATATATATATATATATCGGCGGCGAGCGAGGGGGGCAAGTGAGAAGGAAAAGGCCTTCTCTTCTCGGAAGGCGGCGGGACTTCTTTGAAGCCATCCAGCCTTCTGAGAAGCTGTTTCTGGTTTCGGGGAAGCTTTCTGAGAAGCTGTTTCTGGTCTCGGAAGGCCGGGGGACTTCCGAGCCTTCTGAGAAGGCCCTCTCCTTCTCACTCTCCCCCCCCATCGCTCGCCGCCGAACCTGGGGCGTCTGGAACCTGCTCGCCTTCGGGGCCGCCCGGGAGAGCGCCCCCCCCCTCCCCCTGCGGAGGTGGGCTTCGCGGGCGCCTACGGCGAGACGGTGGAGCTGTGGCGCCGCTCGGAGGAGCCGGGCAGACCGGGCGCCCGTCGTCGTCGTCGTCGTCGCCAACGCCGCCGCCGCCGTCGTCGTCGTCGTCGCCGCCGTCGTCGTCGTCGTCGTTGTCGTCGTTCTCGTCGTCGTCGGCAATGTCGTCGTTTACGTCGAAACTGTTGTCGTCGTCGTCGTCGTCGTCGTCGTCGTCGTCGTCGTCGTCGTGTTGAATTTCGTCGTCCTCGTTTTTGTTGTGCTCGTCGTCGTTTTCGCTGTCCTCGTCGTCCTCCTTGTCGCCCTCGTCGTCACCGCCAGAGGGAGTGGTGGGGGGGGCGGGGCGTGGAGGAGGGGTGGGGGGATGGAGGAGCTGGAGGAGCTGGGGCAGTTTGGAAGAGGAGGAGGACGACGACGACGGCGGCGGCGAGGAGGATGAGGAGGAGGAAGGACTTCTGTGGCACTCGCGGCAGAGCCCGCAGCTGCTGCCGCTGCTCAGGAAAATCGTTGCGGAGTGGGCGCAGGACTACTCCTCAACGAGTTTTCGAGAGGGGTACCGGGAGGACTCCTCCTGGCCCTGTCCTCCTGTTCATCCATTCCTCCTCGTTGCGGACGACCCCATTCTCCCCATCATCTTCTCGTTGAGGAGGAGCACCCATCGTCCTCATCGCTAAGGACGAGGAGGACTCCACGTCCTCCTCGCTGAGGAGGAGCACCCCTCCTCGTCCCCATCTCTGAGGAGGAGGAGGAGGAGGAGGACTCCGCCTCTACCTTCTCCCGCTCCTCGCCCTCCGCAGCATCAGGGTCGACGTAGTGGGGTCCACAGTCTCAGGACCTGTGTCGTCTCCGGAGGCGGGGAAAATGCGTTTTCCCCGCAGCACCTCCGGAGCGACACACCACCTCAAGGAAGGTGGCCGCGAGTGTCTAGGAATCCTAAATGGGGTCGGAGTAGATGGGGTCGGAGGCTCATTCCGCATCTCCGATGCATCGGCGATGCGGCTCGATGTGGAGCCCGATTTCTCCACGCTGGCGTCGCCGAATGCACCGCCGACCTCGCCGCTGCATCCCCGATGCCTCGCCGATGCGTCGCCGATGCATCGGCGCGATGCGGCGCGATCCTCCGACCCCATCGAGGAGGCCTCTGGAGTGGGCCAGGCGACATGCCCTTGTCCCGTTCCGTCTCTCAAGCAGTGGCGAAGCGCCCTGGCGTGCCTGTAGGCCTACCAGATAATGTTCTAAGAACCGTCTGTGGTTTCCACAACATGTTCTTAGAACATTTCTGGCTGGGGCTGTCTTCTTTTCACGCATCGGGCCTATCTTCTAAGAACATTGCTTGTGTCCTCTGAACACTCTCGGGTTCTAAGAGCACTCCGTGGCAGGCCTATGGCCTATAGGAATGCCGGGACGGCTGGTCCCTGCTCACGCCGCAGCTCCTCGCCCCGGTGCACCCCTCATCGCACGGCTTCCACAGCTCACCCTCCCGCCCCACCCTTCCTGGCGGGCCCCAGCCCCCTCGCCGGCCCCGGCGGGAGGCCCGCGCAGGGCCTCTTTCAGCCGGCCGGGAGACGGAGGCCTCTCTGCCTCGGGGCCTCGTCTCGGGCGCCGAACGAACCGGGGAGATACAGGGAAAGGGGGGGGGTACGAAATCTGCTGCATGCAGCTGGTTTCGGCCCCGCCGTCGGGCCCATTCCTCGGCACATGGGCGCCTCCCCGCGCCGGGAGGCACCGGGAAAACCAGCTACGTGAGCTGATTCTCAAACCATCTGAAAGCCCCCCCTTTTGCTATCCCCCCCTTGCGCCCGGCCCGATCGTCCGCCGCCCAGCTTCCCCGTCCACTGCAGGGCTCGTTTCGATTCCTCCGGCTCGCTTCGATTCGATTCCGACGGCTTCCGCTTCTGCTTCGACTCGGCTTCGGATTCGGGTGCAGGTTCCGATCGCTCTCCATGCAGGGCTCGCTGGCCTGCCGATCGCCGAGACGGCTTCTCCTCCCGACTCGGGCGGCTGCCGCTTTCCGCCGACCCGCTTCTTCTCGATCTCTCCGCTCCGACTTGTGGATCCGAGGCTGGGCTCTCTTGCCACTGCGCCCAGGCTCCTGACCGCATGTGCCAAACCCCCCTCTTGAACCTATGGGGGGTGGTACGCTCCCAGACCCCCGACGTAATGAATTTTTCTTGACGTCGACCCCCAGCGGTCTGGACCCATCCCCCGGGACCGGTTCTTTGTCCTGAGTCGTTTTTTGACGGTCCCGAGGGCCGGTAAGGGCCCCCAGAGGCCAAAAATTATGAAAAACTTCCCGTCGTGATTTTTTCATAACTCGAGGGGGTCTGGGATGGGGGGGCGGTACGCTTGGGGACTCTTGGGCAAGCAGCGTGCCGCTCGGCCGGTCCTGGCCCGCCACGCCGCGGCGCGGCACGCGGGCCCCATTCCCAGTCGCTCGGGGCGTCCGCGCCCCGAGCGCCCTTTCCCGGGGCGTCCGCGCCCCGCGGGGCGGAGCGACGCGCCATCCGCTCGCAGGGCACGGCGTGCCGCCGGGGCCGCCGCCGCGACACGCGGAGGAAAAGTTCCTGACCGTACCCAGACCCCCTCGAGTCATGAAAAAATCACGACGGGAGGTTTCTCATAATTTTTGGCCTCTGGGGGCCCATACCGGCCCTCGGGACCGTCAAAAAACGACTCAGGACGAAGAACCGGTCCCGGGGGATGGGTCCAGACCGCTGGGGGTCGACGTCATGAAAAATTCATGACGTCGGGGGTCTGGGGCGACACGCGAAGGAAAAGTTCCTGACCGTATCGTGGCCGAGGCCCCGAGATCTGCCATATCTCAAGGTCGGCGTTTCTGCCTTCAGCACGTCTGCCGGCCCACGCTCGTTCGCGCACACGCCTCAGGACATGCTGCGCGCCCACCCCATCTTTTGGGGAAACAGACTCGAGTGTGCATGTACGTTAGAGCTCGGGCTTGCCGACGCTTTTTGACGAGCGCGTCCTGGATTTTGACGGTCCAGTCTTCGTGGGAGGTCTGCGGCGGGAGCTCGCGATATCATA